TGCATACATGAATAACCGGTTTCTCCACGTTGTTCAAATGGGAAGTTCTAGGGACCTGGAAAAAAGTTTGCGACATCAACTGTAAATCGTCGCAAGAGATAATTATAGAAAGGATGTACGTGAAGTTGGCCCCCCTAAATGAATTAATCATTTCAAAATTTTTCCAATATTAATTGCAAATTGGTTTTAACAATTTGCAAATTAAAATTCTCGGAAATTTAAGTAAAAAACTTTGAGAGAGGGGAAAATTCACATGTTCATAGGTATATCCAAGTAGGAAATATCCACTGTTAATACTTAGTTGCCCCGTTGTCTGAGTATGCCTCTCATAAATTCCAAACAACCGGTTATTTAAATTAATAGTATAAAATAAATAAGAACAATTTTAACACGCATGTTTCCATTGATTGAACTTAATCAACTTAACATACAAGCTGGAAATATTTATAAATTATTTTAAGCCAGTTTGATGGAACTACAAACTAGTTAATAAACATTTTTTTGAAGTTTTAGAGACATTAATAATGTTATGTAATAGAAAAATACTTATTTTTCTATACTATAAAGGTGTATATACGTTTTTATGCAAATTATATTATAGTTTTTCATATCTATTATACTTGTTTTATAAATTATTTTTGAAACGTTTTGAAATCAGGTATATATAATTATTAATAAATAAATGTTTATTTCCATAAAGAAGTGTAAGTGATAACTTTATAGTCAAGATAACAAATAAAAATTTATTTTTAGTATGATATTTGATTAATCTTTTTCGATTTTTGTCATACTACAATACCATGGTACATAAAAATTAAATATTTCTTGAAAATCCTAAATATATACCAAGTAAAATAGATACATATTGTTTATTTTTATTAATTATTTAAAATTAAACAAAAATGTATAGTGTTAAATTAATATTTAATATTTCCCCCCATACAATATCAATTTTAAAGCACCATTTGACGTATCAACAACTGCTGTGCGCAATTGAAAAATGGAAAACAAGGTAAATTTTATAATCGTACTATATTATTTTAAATTTGTATAGCTACATTATTTAATATTGTCCTATTTTCCTATTTCCTTAAACGATTATTTTTATTTTTATTAAATCGATATATTATACATGTGTGTGTATTACAATACCTACAGTATGTTCTACTATAAAGGTAACATTTTTTTACTGCATAAAAACTTAAGATTTGGGAACGTTTTGGTTTCCCTCAGATGGAGCTGGCATAATATTTACGAAAATTCACGAAAAAAAACAGTTTAAAAATTATAAATATGGATTTGGAAAAATATTGGCAACGTTTGGAAATTATTGTATCATATAGGCGTGGACTGTTATTAGAAACGGTCGTTCGAATTATTATCGTGGTATGAATACGTTATCATGTAGACGAGCGTATCAAGGTGGTGTTCGCGCACTGGGTCAGAAGTTTAGCCCAGTAGCGAAGTAGTTCACCATAACCACTAAAACTGTGTTTAGCAGCTCAAAGCAAAGCCAGCCGTATGGTTCTACTCGCGGTAGAATGCACGGGAAGGATTACTGCGAATTGAAAAAATAAATCAAATACGATGGATGTAAATCAACGGCAGAGGCAGCTTGATCATGAATTTTGTGGTTCACCGAACTCTCAAAAAGTTTGGGGTGGGTGTCATTTTAATAGGTGGATACTAACTCGGTCTTGGCAACTGACAGCGGTAGGTAATATAAAATTGATAATTTAATAGAAATTAGGTAAATTGTTGTACCTAATATGACTTTTTGGTATGTGGGTGGGTGGTATTAACTAACTTACTAGAACCACGAACTGAAAAATGTCAGATTGTGTTCCACGCACGTTAATAGCTCGTAACACGTTCGTCACTTGCGTGAAATAGGCTCAAGCCAGGGCGGATCCAGAGGGAGACGAATGGGGCGATCCCCCCCCCCGTTCCCGTAGCAGAATTTTTTTGACGTAATTACTTCAAGGGTAAATAGGGAAATCTTAAATTATTTTTTTTTTTATACCAAACTTATGCTGGTACTATGTTATCACACTTATATTTATTATTTGGTGATATACTGATATCACAGTTATATACCATCATGATGTTAAATATTCGTAACCAAGTTTTGTGTTTGTGGGTGTTTCCGAAACGTGATAACTGATAACAATTAACGTAATAATCTTTCGGTACCTCCACGATCAACAAATTTGTAATTATAAACTCTATAGTTATGACACATATTGGTATAACTAAAAAAAATTATTATTATTATTATTATTACTATATAATTTTTTTTTTTAAGACTTTTTTTATTTAAATAAATAACCTATATCAAAATTAATATTTTTAATTTTATCTATATAAATATCTATATCATGCGTGTCCGTTAAAAATCCCCCCCCCCCCCCCGTTATTTTGGTCAGGATTCGCCCCTGGCTCAAGCATTTCATTTCATGTCATAAAATCAATGGCTAAAGATATTTGTGACGAATGCACTAATAAAGAACCCGTCCTGCAGAGAATGGACTTCCATCAGATTTTTCTCTGACACCGAACGGCAATCGAGATCACTGCCAATGGTGTAACACACGGCGCCGAGTAGATTACGGTGAAAAACTTGAAAAACGTTCATGTTATTCGATGAATCGTAGCACACGATGGAACCGCGATTTTACGCACGTATGATGGCGACGCGCATAAACACTATCGATTACCTATAACCTTTTTTCCAACGGAAACCATACACTCGGTCCCGTAAAGGGAATCAGGTTCATCACGCGGATACGAACGGGCGGGCGCACGTCCTGTAAAATATTGTCTTTAGTGTACTTTACATTTTTGAGCTTAGACAAGGTGCAAGGACCTTAATAGTTAATACCGAACGAGGTGTGTATCAATAGAGTAACAATAGAAATTATTATAATATAATGACGGTGCGCATTTTTACGAAAAAAAATTTGTTTTTTTAAATCTTATCATCAGTGTGTTTTAATTCATTGTTTGTTCCTCAACAGAAAAAAACGTTGTTAGTTTTTTTTTTAGTCGTAAACTATTACGTGATATAATAATAATGATTATAAAAGTTGCGCTTTACATTTTAGTTTTAAACTTTTAATAAGTACACCAACTACGTCACTGTCTTTAATTTTAGATCCTGAACGAAGCGAAAGGAATACGTGCTCCAACATTATAAATAGATGCGTTGAAATATCAAACCAATTAAAATAAAAATTTCATAATAATTATTTTAATTACGACGTGTTGTTACTATAACTCGAACTTCTTGTCAAATAATTTTCTCTTTTTTTTTCTTAACCCCTTCTTGCACACCTGTGCCTGCACTTAAATTTCTCGTCGTCATAACCATGCAGCACTAATACCCTAAATAAGTGATGAAGACGTGTGAAGTTACAAAAGGACTGAAAAATCATTTACTGTACAGAACACTGCATGACACTGTTTACGGCGTTCGGTATAGAAAACAATTTACACGATTAGAACTTAGGCCGATCAGAGCCGTCATAGGCTATGCAGTATGGGCACATAGAGCTCGGGGGTCTTTTTAGTGAACAAAGAAAAAAAAATCGAGTAAAAACATCAAAAGGTTATTTTGTATGATGAATTTAATACTGCCGGGCGACATGAGTTATTAATTTTAATGAAAAACCTGTTTAAGTAATGGGATAATAAATTAAATATACCTAATGTAATTGCACACAATTAAACATTCATTATTTATTTAACATTTTAACACTATAATGTTAAAAGTCTTAGGTAAATGGTATACCAATTACCTAAGATTTTTTTCTAGAATTAAGAATTATTTTTTTTTACAGATGTTCGTATTAATACGTTACAGCTAAAAATGTTAAGTAGTAATTTCTATTATTCAGGGCTCTCAACCCGACGGGGGCCCTGAGCACGTGCCCATATTAAAGACGGAACAGAAGCCGACTCGTAGATTGTGTGTGTAATTCTCGCGTATGGCCGTACGGATATTACGTAGTTTTTTGAGTTCGTGTCGCATTGTTAAATTAAGTTCGTATAAGATTTGTCAAAAGCATAGGCGAGATCAATGCGCCAAATGTATAGGCATTTACATATATAGGGATGTATTTAATTCATTAAAAAGCCCATCGGTACGCTCAAAATTCATGTTCCCTATCTTAGTGCACTATTATTACACAATATTTGTAATTAATATAAAATTTAAAATAATAACTAAGTAATAATCATCTAAATTATGTTATAAAAAATTATCTTTCATAGGGCTGATCGGTAGTACTCTTCAGTCTAAATACCCATCTTCATACAAATCAAGATTAAACCAATACCCGTATCTCAATAAAATACTCTTAAATAAATATATAGTTTATAGCTACTAAATAATATAAATTATTTTACAACATTACATTTATTTTTCGTATGTAATTTTATTTATCATTGATTTATCCATTGAGAATGCGAAAAAATCGATTTATTTTTACTTAGAATCACTGTAAAACAATTTTTGCCGCCCCCTCAAATATTTCAGGGGACTATTCCCTCCCCAAAGTACCCTTTTAATATGACCCTGCACACACACACACACACGCACGCACGCACGCACGCACTCACAACGGACGAAAGAGTAACACAGTGGTTTTCATGTTATTTCATATAATATAGTATACAGAGCAATAAATGATTAAATACCGCCAGAGCGGTCGTGTGAATAAAAATAAAATAGTGATCTACCTACTGGTAAAATAAATAAAATAATAATAATAATAATAAATACTAATCAGGTAAATCAGTAGATTAAAAGAATATCGAATAAATAAACAAAAAAAATTATATATATATATACATATATATATATATATAAATAATTAAAAAAAAAAAAAAATAGAAAAGAAAAAAAATCGCAGACAGAAACGTTTGATTGATTGCAACGGTAATAGTTGTGTGTTTTTCGGTTCCGCCCCGGACAACGACGATGACGACGAACGGGAAATTTACGATTGTACGACGGAATCCTGTCGGTCGTTTTGATTGTTGGTCCTGTTGAACATGGCCACGATCCTGGGGCATCTGGGGCACGCGGGCACGCCTCGCGAGTGGTAACACTTTTTGTGGTAACACGATCCGCAGTCCACGCACCGCGTCACGGTCCCAAAGTCCCAGGGGAACAGTACTTCGTTCTTGTTGCACATCTCGCAGACAAACCCTCTCGCGCGGCACAACTGGAACATCGCAACGCCGCGTGAGCATTTCTCACCGTATCACGCGCGTAAAAATCGCGAATTGACAATAGCGAAATCGCAGTTCTTTATAATTCCTCTTTTGAATACTATACATATTAATATAGTATTCGGATAAGTTTCAAAACTTATAAAACTGTAAAACTATAGCCTGTTTTATTAATAATTAGTATTTTTAACAGTATAATAAATATTCTTTAGCAGTAAGCTAAATGTAATAAAGAAAATTTGAAATTTAGAAGAATTAAAACGAGAACAGTATAATGCTGGAGAATAACCAGAGATAAAAAAAAAGTACAAGACTGTGCTTTTCATTCGTTAATTACATATTATAATACTAATGATAATAAGAAATCTGTAAATGGTATAGCATATAATTTTTCACTAAATGCCTAATTTTTTTTTCAAAATTATTATCATCAAATGCTTATTCGTATATTTTAAGCATTTTTACATCCGCGATTTTTGTTTCGCTATTTTGGCCGGATATCAAGCACGTGACGCACGGCAGTGGCGTAACTGCATGGGAAGTAGCTCCCCCCCCCTGTTCAGCAAGTAAACTACGTTCCGCGACTGATATGCATTCATATGGAAATTCAAAGAACGCACATCGTATCGCTTTTTTTATTTTAAACGCAAACGCTTATTATGAAACAATAAATTAAAATATTAAACAGATAATTAGTAGACATGAAAATTGAATAGGAAATCCAGTTTATTACTGTAACGAACACCATAGCAAGAAAAAAACTCTGCTACTTTAATAGGTACTGATTGTAACTGGAATTATCACGTTTGATTCGGGAATTTACTGTTGAATACGTCAACATTGTTAAACTATTTTAATTATTTTATAATCTCTCAGATATGTCCAAGATCCTCAAATCATTGCCCTCACTTTGCCCCACGATTGATACGCCACTGCATTACGGTCATGTACAGCGTTTGTCGGGTTAGCGTTTTCTACCTGACAATTCACGATGTGCTTGTTACAGCTGATGATCAAGGATTGCAATTTTTTCCCCAGTTCTCCACTTTTCACATCCAGCATGTTCTGAATGGAAAACAAGTCGGGCTTCAGTATTATATGAGCTTCCATGGTGTCCAATGGTTCTTTTAACCTACGTGCGCAAACAACAATAATATAAGCATCACGATCACACCGGACAGACAAATCGGTACACGGTCGATGGGCCGAATACATTATAAAGTTTATCAAAGCTTTAGCGTCGCAAATCATTATTTTTTCATCACCACCACGAAACCCATTTACAATTGATCTGTCGTCATTATTAGTAATTTATATAAATGAAGAATACTATTTTATATAACACTAGTCCAGTACTGTGACCGATTGAAAAAAAAACCACGGTTGAGTTTTATGCCATGAAGTATGCTAATATTTAAATCAGGTGCGTGACATATGTATATACAAAAAATTATCTAACATAACAGCTTTGATAAATATTCATTGGGCTCGGAGACTACCAAATGTGTAATTTTATTAATATAATATTACAATTAGTATAATGAGCTAATTTATTATTATGATAAAAATAATCGCTACCATAGTTAGCATAATCTATCGAGTCTTAATTTTATATTATCCATATTTCGTACTGTCTTTTGGGCTACTATAGCTTAATAAAGCTTAATAGATAGATGCAGATATAAAAATGACGCAGTTTTCAGTGTACAAATTATCAAAAATATATTTTTATGGAGGCCCATCGACTGTTTGTCTCGTATAGGTTAGGTACGTTGTTCGATAGACACAAGTGAATTTGTGTACATTGAATGACGGCAAAACAAAAACGGAATAAAAAAACAAATCACATGACAAAAAACGATTGTTTCATTGCACCAACCTATCCGCGTATCTGCACGAGAAGATGAAATCTTTGATGTAGTACAACTGCAACCGGTACAATCGCACCCTGTCCAGGCCCCTAGCGCGTTTGTACAGCACGCTGTTCAGGTCGGCTATGTTGAACAAAGGGTCGAATAACATTTGCTCGAGTAGAGCGAACGAGAAACATGACACTGGGTACCTAGAAGAGACAGAGAGAATACGCATATTATAAGGTTCTAGGCCAAAATAACGAAATAATTAATCGCAAATATGAAAATCGCGAACTGATAATAGCGAAAATAAAAATAGCGAATTTTAAAATGCGCGATCGTGCATAATAGCCAAATTTCAGTTTCTTGTAATCTCTATTTTGAATACTATACACTTTAATACATTACTTGGATATGTTTCAAAACTTTTAAAACTATAACTTATTTTATTAATAATTAGTATTTTTAATAATATAATAAATATTTTTTAGGAGGAAGCCCCCCTACTATATGGAAATTTATTGATGTAATAATAATAATGTAATATTTTCGTTCTTTTTTAAAATTAGCTGTTTTTATTTTCGCCATCATTAATTCGCGATTTTTACATTCGTGGTTATTGTTTCGTTATTTACACCGGATACCATATTATAATACTGTCGTGCAATGCGCTGTCAGAGGCACCGCAGTTGCACATCACTTTGTACCGGCTGACGTACTTTGAAAAGTCCCATTTAGCAATTATCCGGCCGGGTATGACGGCGGTCTTGTTCACGTGGCACCCGGTGCAAAAATACCGACCCAAGTAAAAGCAATAGCGGAACTTCGAAGCGTACTTCACCGCCACTTTTGTACCACAGCCAGCGCACTTATAACCTTGCTGTTCCATTAGGTTTTTTCTACTGTAAACACAAAAAACGAAAAAAAACCAATAAACATACACAATAATGATAAACCATGTTACGCACACACGTTTTTCTATATTCATTTAATTGCACTCGTAATATTATAATATTATTATTATTATTATTAATAATATTATTAAATTTAATATTATTTGGTTTATTTGATAATAACATCTTCGTGATCTTTATTATTCATTATAATTAATAACAATAAAAATAATAAATGTACATATTTAATTTAACTACTATGCATTAAAAATGCTTATTGTTTAATATTTAAGTAGTTTAAATAATAAAAGGTTTTATATTTGTAAAATAACCATAGATATTTTATATTTTGATAAGTAAGAAAAAATAGTTTTTGTTCTACTGATGCGTAAAACTTAAAAAATATGTAATTAGTAAGTAGAAATAAAAAAGTTTGGGAATCGCTACAAGTGTAGATCAATATTATGGATTCTGTTAAAACGTTTTATTATTCATATTCATGCGTGTTGTTGTGAATTATTATAAATGATACGAGTAGTTGTTAAAAATGCTATGAACTTAAAAAAAGCAACGGACATATAAATACTTGATATTTCCGATTCAAACAAAAAAATGAATGTCTATATCAGCTTTATGCAAAAAAGTTGAACATTTGGTAAATTACAATTAAATTACAATTTTTTTATCAATTTTCAATTTGTTAACAAGCAGAATACAACTTTTGAAGTATTATCTAGTTTTAAAAATATAGTTAAATAAGTGTTCATCCTTAAGTTCAAAATTAAAAACCTAATAATTAATTTTAAATTTAAGTACTCAATTTTATGTTAAAATATAACGACCACTAACCTGCAGTTTTAATCAAACACATGACGTATACAAGCAATAATTTATAGAAACCAACTTAATGAAGAAATAAGATTATGAAAGGAGAGTACTTCTTGGATATTTAAAAGTTTTAGATAAAACGTAATAATTAACAGTACAAAATCATGACATATATAACTGAAAAATAAATAATTTTTAAAACCGTATTTCTGTATACTTACATGGGAGATGGATGACAAGTGAATATAATTTGAGGCCGCGGTGGTGCCCAATCATTTGTTCCTCTTAGTCTGGAGGAACTTTTCAGATCTTCGGGTTCGTGAGGGTTGACGGGCCAACTCGACGGCAATGGCAAAATCTAAAACAGACAATAATGTTTTGAGAGAAAAAAACAAAATTTTAATAATTTCAGTCAAACATTATTCATAAACTAATAACACGTGTAAATATACTTAATGCTATTATATTATCAATATAAGAATATTATTTTGATCAAAAAATGCTCATTTATCAATACGAATAAAATTTAATTATAATCACAGACTGATTTTATACAAAAATACACAAAGACGGTTATCGGGAGGGAAATTTAAGAACTGCGAGAATAACTGCATCATATTCAAACACATTTATATTTTATTTTCATACTTAATTTATAGTAAAAAATACACTTTATAAATATAATTTTTACAATATTTTTCATAGAATATTTCTAAATCGAAAACTAAAATTAACCATGATATTGTTTAACTAATTTTTAAGCTCGGCGTTGACACTGAAATTTCTAAACACAGAATCCATCGTCCGACTTGTAAAATGCAATAATAATTAATTAGGGAAAAGTGGCGAGGGTGCATTTGAAACGTGCAAGTGCTCAACACTTTATAGTACCTAGAACATTCCAATGTCAGTGTGTCAAGTGACATTGCAGTCAAAGCCGTGCTTGAAGGGGGCGATAAGGACAATTCTCCCTCTTAAGAGATTTTACACAAATCATATTTTGTACGGTTTCAAACCTTTCAATACATTAAACGAATAAATACAAAACAATTTATTATGTTTTAGAAACTATTGATTATCATCACATTTAAGAATCTACGTAATTAACGTCGATAGACGGATGAGTGAAGTGTACGTAGAGTAGAGAGTGTAGGCATATATACGGCCAGTATATGTTGACAATGACATAAGAAGTTAACAAATTATTTTTAAGGACTAGAAAAATAATTATAGATTTCGATTGAGAAATAAATAGTTGTGCTCTGTCGTATCACAATAATACACTAAAACATATTTGTTAATTTTTTTCTATCAATTTCATAAAATATCACCACACATAAGATTTTTTTATTCGACACTGCCACTCTACGTACATAAATAAAATAAAAATAATATTAGACAGACGCTATGATTTTCCTAGACGCCGTGTCATCACAAAAAGACTACGGTCACATCGATATCCAAAATAAATCTAATAAATTATAATTATTGACATAATATAAAATACGTAATACAATATAATTACAAAATATAAATTCTGCGGATATGTAAAAAAAAAAAAAAAAGTACGTTATATAATTGTTTTAAAAACATATGATAAAAAATAATTGAATTTTTTTCAAATGCAGAGTGCCGGTTCCTTTGTTATTTCGACGGTACGGAGTTCTGGATTTAGAAAATATTTATATGCACGTGAAACTATCCTAGTGTATCCCTTTTTTCGTATACAAAGGTTGAACTTCTTCACCCTCCCCCGGAAAGTCAACTCCTGAATACGATACAGCAATAATAAATAACTAACGTTATACAATAACTACGCATACCTGTTGGGGTGCATCGCGTTCCGATATCAACCACTGGACGTTGACATCGACAGGCCAATTGTTCTTGTGGCTAATCTGACGGATCAACGAGCGCGCGACGCTTTCCGCGGTGACCACGGACGAGCATGAGCTGGCCGATCGCATTCGGTCCACGTTCGAGTACAGGGAGCTCGTGGACGAGCTGCACGCGGAAAACCTCGATGAACCGTAGCTCTCGTTGTCCAAGTCAAACTCGTCCATGTCGTCCGTGGTCGACATGCTGGAGGTGGTCGAGCAGTAAGAGGACGTCAGGGAGCTCATCGTGTGATCGGTAGCTGGAAAAAAGTTTTTGTTTTTCAAAAAAAGCACTTTTTCGCATCGGATTAGTGTTTAAATCTACGCATGACCACCATAACCAGCCTTACCCCTCGGTTAGAAAATCGACATTATTTTAAATAGCAAACCTTCAGTTAACGTTTTAATGTAGAACACGTAGATCTAATAGAATTATTATTTTGATAATAATATAAAATATTAGTTACATTCGGTCATGCAATCGGAAGACGACGTGCCAGTGGTCCTTGGTTGGTCGACTTCTAGTTTTTGTCTACGCCGACAACGAATCCTTTTTTTCAATCGATTTATTTCTTCGTCGCTCTCTTCGATTATTTCGTCGGTAAAATTCAACTTTTGATTGCATTTGATCTGAAAACATCAATAATACATAATAATCATGAAAACACATCAGCAGTCATAACAGAACGAAATCATAACAATGTGATCATTGTACGTATCAAATGTTCCCGCTAACAATGAAATAAAACAACAAAACGTTTACTTACGAAATCTAATTAAAAATAATCCGTAAATCGGGGCATATCAAATTATAATCAAGTAAATAATAATTACTTTAAGTACAACGGTAAATAGATAAATTCAAACGTATAAAAACAACGTATAATAAATAGTGACTTTCTAAAATAATCATGAACATTATAAATCAATAATAGTCATGCAAGTACATACAGCATATATATATTTATGTATTAAAAATAATATATTACATTATATACAGGGTTTGGGACTTAACAACATTTGCATACGTTTTTTATTTATTGTAAAACAAAAAAGTTTACGAAATTAATTAATTTCTTAATATCATGATTTCAAATCCAAAATTCGAATACGCATATTTTTGTATATTTCATAGATTTTGCAGAAACGTGCTTATTTGTAACTTTATTGTGATCCTTTCGCATATTTTGACTAGCGATTCATATTTATAATAATAACTCATCTATATTATTATAAATAAATATATTAAATGCATATTTTACCGTTTTTTAGTGCATATTTTGGTATTATTAAGCACTGTAAGTTCCAAACCCTGATTAAATATAATATATACTATGTATGGATATAGATTTAACGTTTTAAGTATTAAAATATGTATGAGATCTTACACATAACACCTATAGTGAGTTACACATGTGGTATGTATATTAAGGGGCACGTGATGGTAGTACCGTTGTGTTGCGGACGTATAGGCATTTGTGGAAGTCTCCGTTCGACGGCGATAGTCGCGGACGGATTATCGACGAAAAAACGAGTATCGCACGCAGCCTTATTTTCTAGCTGTTTTCCAACACTCGACTAGATGACTTCTCGGAGAGCCAGGTTGTAATTGTCTATATAACTTGACCAATACGAATGTTACGTACTTGCAGAGAAAAATTATGTATAAATACAAAACATTGTTACATAAGTACCTACCGTGTAATCAGGGCCGGCCTGAATAATAGTAAGGGATGGTACAGTTTTCGAAAAACAGACGATTTTCACGGAGCAGAGCGACGGTTGAGGTGGAAAAAATATATGTGCATACAGAACGCAAAGAATTAAAAATAAAATTGATAAAAAATAAATTGAAAATGGGGTGGTGTCAAATCAATAAAGTTTGATTTTATACAATAGTTTTGTATTATAATTTCAGTTCGTCCAGAAAAATATTAAAACCTCATATTTTGGTATTTTTAAGTGTAATGTGTGTCAGTACATTTAGACTTAAACTACTAGTAATTAAAAAATATTGTTATTGTATATAACTGTTTTGATAATTATTTTAAAGTAATAAAAATAAACTTGTTTAAATTAGATCTAATTTTAATAGAATATTTTTTACATAAAATCAATATTAAATAATATTCAATGAGAATTTGCATACAGATCAGATACAAGCAAAGTTAGACCATAGTATTAGATAGATTTAGTATTCCACTTAATATACAATAGAAATTGTGAAAACTTTTTATAATTACATAGATATAGATCATACATAAAATGTACCTCAAAAATATCTCTATATAATATTAAAGTGTGCATCTAAGGGTATATATGATATATACACACATAATCTATGTGAACTGGTGAACTATGCATGTATAATATATTTAGGTAGTAATTAGGGGCAAACGCAGGGAACCATTGGAGTACGGTTTGAAAATATATATATATTATTTGCAAGTCTTATGAAAACTTTGAAATAACTATTCAATTATAAAAATTTCTGATAAGTCGGAGAAGGGAGGGGTGTAACAGTAAAACAGTATTACATATTAGAACACATCAAATGGAGATTATAATATGATCATGGTCCAAATTAAAATACTAGCCCTGCTGCTCTGATCAGGCCGACCCTAAGTATAATAATGTTTGTACTATACAACACACAATAGAAAAACAATATTTTTGAAATGACAAAAAAAAGAAATAATTATCATAACAATTTTTAGTCCCGTAAATCAGAGAAAAATATTAACTAAATTAATGAAAAAATATAATTATAAAACATTATCAAAGAATAAAATAATTATGGCACAGTGCCTCAGTAGAAGACTTCAAAATTGGATCAAGTTGTAAATTACAACTGTCACATTTTTAGGTAACTACTATTTTAAGCTACATAATATTATACGAATTATATTCTGCCTCTTATATATGAAACTGTAATACAAGTGCATAGTTTACTGACTTAATAAAGTTAAAATTGATAAAATTCTAAATTGTAATAAAATATTTACCAATTCCACCAGAATTAATTATAATTGCAATCATATTTTGATAGTAATAAAAGATAATGATTATTAATAATTAAATAAATTGAAAAGCTAGGGCTGTAGTTGTTATATTTTAAACTTAATAATTTTTGAAGTATATTCATTGATAATGTATTGTATTCACATTTTTACAGAATTTCTAAAACCAGAATAACAATAAGAAAACAATAATAATTGAACACTAACTTGTTCAATAGTTCCAATAATTGCTTCAGAAATTTTGAAATGTGCGTTTTCACGATCAAGTTCAGCATTAGCTTGAACAAATTGTCCTGAAGACAAAAATTTGAATAAATCTTGACCGGGAAAATATGAATTAATTAATCCAGGTGTTCCAGTGTACTTCGAAGGTGGAAATTCATCATAAGGTATTAATGTTCTAGTTCCATCCGAAATATTACTTCGGGTGTCATCATCAGATTCTTCTAGTATTTTTGATGGCAGTCTTATCAATTTTGATTGTCGTTTTATTCGTTTGGATAAATTACTGTGATTATAAAATATTTTTTCTTTCAATAACTGATGTTTATTTGAATCAACATTTTCATTTAGAAGTTGTTCATAATTTACATCTAATAACTTAGGAGTTGAAATATCAGAATCGGCCAGGTTTAAAAAATCTAGTTTATTGTCTGATGCTTGAAAGGTGTCATAACTAAAAGATCGCCTTAGTTTTGGTCGATCTAACATTTTGTGCAGATCTGGCCAACTTTTGTGATACTGTTTTAAAGATAAGTGCTTAATCTTACAACTTGGTAAATTGTTATGATGTTCTGTATTTGTATCATTAATTTGAACTGAAGTATGCTTTAAAGGATTTTTCAGTGTACAGAATTGTTCAAAATACTCATCATGTGTTTGTTTGTACGATGATTTTGGTAGAGTAGAACAATGTTCATTTTTAGATGAATAATTCAAATACTAGAAAAATTTTTAAAACAATAAATTAGTGAATTATTAATTTATCAATTAAAGATATCTTACTAGTTTTGGATCGATTTCCAAAAGTAAAGAAGGTTGATTTAGCTCAACAACTTTAAGACACAACAAGGCAGCATCACTGTATGCTTTTTGACATAAAAAAGCTTCTGGTTTATAACACTTATAAAGATGATCTTTATCAGATAACAACCATCCAAGTTTTTCGGACAACGTATGATTTTCTAGGCTGAAATATCAAAATTTATAAGGTAAAAATATTATATTTATATTTTTTTAACTGCAGACTAAAACACATAAAACAATCTAATTTTGAAATTTAAATTTTAAATTTTAAATCTTTAATGTTGGTAATACATAAATTATTTTCATGGATACAGAAAATTTATAATTTGATAACTATCTCCCAACAAAAAAATAATCAGACTCTATGAGAGTTAAATTTAAAATAAGGAACTACTTATACAAAACAACAAAAATTAAACTATTACTTTTTTTACTTAATTGATAAAATAACTACCAAATATAGTTTTTACATTGAGTGAGTAAATTAATTAAAATGTTAATAGTTAAATAATAAATAGTTTTAAATAATTTTAGTAGATAGTATTTATATTAATAAAATTTAAAATTTAAAAAAAGCATTATAAGTCAAATATATATATATATATATATTTTAAATCTTTATTGTTTTATAAGATTAATAGGTATGCTGAATATAGATAATGTAAAAAATCTTGTGATAGAAAGTAGTAAAAATGTATCAACTTCAATTCTTTTAAATATTGATAGAAATATTTAAAAACTCTAAACAGTTATGATACTATTTACTAATAAATAACAATTATTATTATAAGTACATAACATTAATTATTAAATTATTTAATTAATTAATTAATTAATTTAAACAGTTTAAATTAAATTAAATTTGTTAAGTTACTCATTGACTCTTATAATATACCTTTTATAAATCCATAATGATGATTTGTCCAAATGTTCATTTTTTGGGCAGGAATTTTCAAAGAATGTACATAATGATGCTATTCTTGGGTGTAACCAATTTATTCCTTGAATAAAATTCCAAACTGCATCTTTATTCTTAATAATACAAAAATAGTTATAATTATTTTGCTTAAGACAATTGAATCATTTTTAAATAGATAATCTAATAAGTATCATCTAACAGTGCAATCACAATTATAGTAAACACTAATAGAAACCTAAAGGAATATTCATTGAGTATATAAAATAAACAATCAAAGTTATTTGTTGTTGTAGTAATCAATAAATGCTAGTTTAAAGTTACTTAGATTCCAACAAAACAACATTTAATATTATAGGTAGTAGGAATTAAGAAAATTTTTATTTATATTCATATATTTAATATAAGATAAAAATTATTTTTTCATAATTTGAAGATCATATTTTCTTTTTCTTTTGGTAACCCAGTATCGCATTTGTAAATTATCCTATTGCGTGACTAGCTAAAAAAGTCTGGACACACCTATGGTACATGATCATTTTTTATTGTTAACACGCCCATCATGATTTCTCATAAGTACTTACATTTGAATTTAATGACAAACATCCATGCCTGAAGATAGTCATCATGATTGAATGAAGGCGATCTAAGCCACCGCACACCTCCCAGGTACTGGTTCGACTGGACATTGACAAACATTCTACAGTCGATTTCAATCTGTCCAAGAGGGCAGGCAGTTCTTCCATCTATTCGAACACTTAGTATAACACACAAACCCGATTTCAGTACACTGATACACAATAGTTCTCAAAATCAACTTACATAAACAATGGTTATTACTATTATACATCAGCCCGTGACTATAATGTAACGAATGAGGATTGAGCGACATAAATGTACGGATTAATATCATGTACGGGTACATTAAAAATATAAATATTGTTCGGGCGAACGAGTTAAAAAACGAAAAAAAACGACGTGGAGCGGTACGAACGAAACAAAATATTACACACCGGCTGTTCAAAATAACCCGCAGTCGTGGTAGAAAAATATAAAATGTTCATAATTCTTGATTTTCGCGACAAAATTATAATAGTTGCGATGTAATTGAAGCGAACAAATAAAAAAAAAAATAATAATAAATAAAAATAAAACAAATGAAACTGATAATACGGTAATGTTATCAACGAAATAATACGGACGGCTATGTCGTCTCGGCGACGCAGTAACGAGTCCATTAGCCGTGTAGGCAATTTATACGTGGTGCATTCGCGTGCATCCGTTTGCATCGGATGTTCGGGCGAACGTCATTGGGTACCGTTGATGAATCACATTCGATTTTTCGTATTTCAGCGAACACGTTGAACACTATTCATTCGCCGGATCTTCTGTTGAAGACAATCCGAAAATGGAATTCGACGTCCCGCAAACATTGACAGCGCGAGGGGAGGAGCAAATAGGCAATAGGGGCAGTTGCCCAGGGCCCCCCGGTTCTGATTTAATTGAACTTAAAATATTTTATCAACAGAAATTATAAGACTCAAAATTTATTTTACCCAGGGCCTCGCAAACTTGCACCAGCACTGCCCGCAAGACAAAATAAATCGAGTTATTAATCAATTTTAATTCACCACTTCAAACGGTGAACACATGGGCTAATCGAAATCGACACTGACATTTCGGACACTTTTTACGCGCATACTTAAACTAACTAACCGTATGGAAATGTCGGTCGACAAAATTGCAGCGCAGTTAAGACGCGTTGGCGTGGAATTTCGCAACAATGCGTTGTAACGATTATCGCACTGAACGTGGGAAACACCTACACGTTCGTGAAATCATGTTTTTCGGTTAACCGAATGAAAAATTTAATAAAAAAAAAAAATTAACACTCCGTTTGGTCCTCGTGACCGTCTGCTGTCGATAAAACAGTTAATATGTACGGATTCGTTGTACAAATGTACTATTTTGAATTTTGCATAATCGATCTGCATTGATCCGACGCTTATCGCTGGGATAATTATTATTCACTGGTAATCGGTACGATGACTTATTGACTTACGAGTATAAAGGCCACAAATGTCGTTTTCACTGAAAAATAACATGTTGAGAGTAATATGTTTCGACTGAAATATTATCCGCGTAGTAATCATTGAACTAAGAATCATAGTATCGGAACACGCAATTTAAGTATTCTTTTATTCGTATCACAAATACGTCTGAAACATATATTCTTAAAAAAGCATATTTTAATATTGTGTAACATTGAAATCTTAATTTGCATTAGGTAGAATACATAAGAAATAACATTTCATTGGCATTTTCTATATGCTGCAGCCCGGGTTGAACATGACGTAATTTTATTGCGTACATATTGTTCAGGGCCGGACTAGCCCATCGGGATACCGGGGAACTCTTTGGCGAACCGGTGTCCGTGAAGCCAGTTTTTAATTTTACCATGAATTGTTAAGAACTATAATATTTTTTCGTATCAATCAATATTTATTATTTTATTTTATATTATAATTATTATAATAATATATTATAATTTATTATAATTATTTTAATTTCTGGCTTCTTATCAAGGGTACGGCACATACTTTACCAGTTTTTCCGAATGTATTCCTTCGTTTATTATTTTCATATTTAGTTGCAAATTTTTTGACTGTGAATTGCCTGATCATGAATTTTTAATAAAATTTAAAAAAAACTGGTAAATTAGAAGTCATTTAATAAAAACATTTATCTATACCTTGAATCACGTCGATGACGAGGATAATGATAAAAACAACTTCAATAAATACAATAACTGTACACACGACCTATAAATTTGTGTTACCTGTTGTTATACACTGCTTATGGATATAATCTTTATAATGATGCTTATATCATATTGACTTTGGCATACAAGTTTTCACTCACTTTGCCAACGACACAAGTAAAATAATTTTCTCTAAAGATTTAACTATAAATATTATAAGATTATCCTTTTTATTTTTATAGTTTGCTCGTGAGGAGGGTTATATTTATCATTAGGAAAGATAAGCAAATGTCTATGTATGGTATCCGTTATTAGAAGGCCTCGGGTTTTTATGAACCTTTTTTTAAACTAAAACTTTCATCGTATAAAATAAATAAAATCGAAATAATAATAATATTTAAAAAGAAAAAAAGATCAGCCACAATTTTCATTTTACGTAAGCGCCTCAAAATGCCTAAATCGAGTCCTGCTCATGAGATATCGTTCTCTACACTTGAACGTATTAAAAAAACTTTGAAAAGCACATTATCCGATTCATACTTAGAATATTTCATGCTAATGGCAGTAGAGAAAAAAAGTGAATTTATGTCGACGCAAAAGCAACCATTGATCAGAAGAAAAGTGCTAAAGTGATAAAGTTACTCGATAAAGAATTCCCGTATAAATATAATTGTTTCGCTTTGTAATTTATGTGGTAAATTTTATTTAAACGAATACATAATACTGCAATTTTTGCGATCGTACACGGTTGTATGGTTACACGGGGGGGGGGGGGGGGGGTTGAACCACTCATTATCTTGAAAGAAAAAACGAAAACAAACACCGGCAATAATTTTACGTGGACGATTTCAAGTTGCGAACACCGACTCCGGGGGCGAACCGTATGTCGTGTGTAGTTACGAGCGATTGAAAATCGATTCCACTGTTGCAAACAACCCGGATAGGATCGCGCCGCGACGTTCGCCCGGACTCGTAAAAACGTCGTTCTCGATCTATGTATTACAAATAGTGCTCGACTTGAGAGGGGTCGCACGGGGACTCCGACTGATTTTCAGAAATGTTAGCGTGCCCTTACTATTATTACGTTGTAATCATAACGCTTAACAAGTTTTGGGGACGGTTTTGGTATCTTTTCGGAAAAGCAGAGTGCTCCTACCCCGCTTTGATTTTGCCGGGTCTAGCACTGTGTATTTAGTGAAAAACGTACCTGTTGTTGCCGCAAAAAAAGGTTGGCCGGAACGAAACGTCAGCCGATCGGGGGAC